GAGCATACGTTTCCTTTCTTATTTTTAATTTAAAAGAGATTGAAAAAGACTTGCTGTCTTTCAGATTGGCGGCGGTCGCAACATTCACCAAGCAGTTCTCCGAGTCCCAGAAATATTGATCAGAGATTCCAGAGCTGCCCGCCTGCAACCTTTCAATCAGTACCGAAAACGGTTCAACTTGAAGCCGTACTCATCCTTTTATGAATTAACTGGTAAGTTGGTGAAATGTAAACTCATAAAATGTTCAGGAAGTTGACGAAATCTGCTGCATGCAACGTTCGGGCCCTCCATGATTATAGGCCTGTAGATTAGCCTACTAGCATAATAGCACACAAAATGTGTAAAAAAGCAATATAATTTAATTGGTGTCTTGTGTTCACACTTTTTAAATAAAATAAGCTACCAATACAGAGAGTCTGAATCATATGGAGAGTGTAGTGTCATTATTTAACAAGGAGCTCTGGATAATAACGATTATCCTGCTCACTTTGAATGTTTTTTCCGACTATTTTAAATTGTATTGTCGTTCTGAATTAGCTGTACAAGTTATAGATTACTGAGTTAATCAGAACTGTATAAATTGAATTTTCTATCCCACAACGGACTCTGTTTGGACCGTTTCTCTGTCAGCGTTCTTGTATAACTTCGCCATCTTGAATTCTGTATCCGACTCACTTCCCTTTCGCGCCCTCTGCTGGATGGCGGCCAAACTGCAACACTAAAAGAAGGTCCATCTATGTGGACGTTATTAGTTAATCCGATTGGAAATTATCTTTATCTAATGAACCATTAATCAATCAATTGTTTGCTTTCTTACTCTGAATTGATAGGTTTAGGTAAGAGGCCATTTTCTTCTGGAAGTTTCCTTTTGCCTTTCAAGTTTTGAATTTTGTGTCTCACCATATTCTTATCAAAAAACTAATTTAAACAAATCAAACGTCCCTAGACTCTCTGAACTTTAGTAGTAAATATTTTGTTAAAAAGACGTATATGTGTATGTATATATCACACACGTAATGTATGTGTATGTGTGAATGGAGAAAACACATTCAAAGCTGTGTTTTTTTCCATTTCTGACAATTATGTTCACAAAAATTCAAACTTTTAATCTGTATCTGTTAACTGGAGATCTGTTCCTCCCCTTTTGGGTTGATTGAATCAGAAAATTACCCCAACTTTGAACTGCAACAACCTAAAAAAAACCCTTCAAACTTCTTTTATTTGAGGTGCAGCAAAACGTTCCATCTTGACTGATGTGTACATCACAACCTTTCTGTGGTTTCTTAATCTGCCACCATCTAATAGAAAAGATAATGAAAAACTTGTTGATGCAGAGGGCACATGTAAATTATGTGGTTGTTTTTATGCCTGCTCGGATATTCCTCCTATATAATAAGGTTACCTACAGCACTGATCTACACCAAGATGTAAGGAAATGCATTCAGACTTTAACATTTTTCTATAAACAGGTGATGAAGAAACAGCTCGAGGTTTAGAGGAGCTCTATGGTGACATTGACGCCCTGGAGTTTTATCCCGGCCTAATGATGGAGAAAACTCGCCCCAACTCCATATTCGGAGAGAGCATGGTGGAGATGGGAGCCCCTTTCTCCCTGAAAGGCCTGCTTGGGAATCCCATCAACTCTCCAGAGTACTGGAAGCCCAGCACCTTCGGAGGTGAGACGGGTTTCAACATCATCAAAACGTCGAGTCTGAAGAAACTGGTCTGTCTGAACACCAAGTGGTGCCCGTATGTGGATTTCCATGTCCCGCGAAACGAGGAGGAGGCGAAGCCGCAGAACCCGTCCATCGAACTTTAATGACCAATCGTCTACTGAAAAATTTATTTTAATTCTGTGGAAAACTGGTTATTCAGCAGGTCTTCCTCCTGAAAAAGCAGTTGACATGTTTTTAAAGGACTGTTAAAAGTTTCAACTGATGTCCATTAAAGTCGTTATTCCACACAAGTTCTCATGCTTGTATTTTCAATGGAAATAGTTTAGTCTTATTGGCAACTTGTCATTTTATCTCCTAAAATGCAATAACATAGCATTAATTTAGAGTACTTAATCATTTAAAGTCTGCTCCAGGTCCACAGGCCGAATTCAGCCCCCAGAAGACTTTGTGTCCTGCAATTCTCTAGAAATAAAACCTTTTATGTTACAATTGTGTACTTAATTATTATTTAAATATGTAAACTGTATTATGAGAATGTGACAGCATTGCACCACTAGTGCCAAAAGCTTATTTTCATCCATTTTCCCCCTTTGTGTGACAGTAAAAGTGTAAGAGAGCAATCTGTTAGTCAAACAGTCATGAGAACAGACTTCTGTGGTTTTGTTCCATAAAGTTACTTCTGTATTTCATATGTAAATTAATGGCAACAATTTAACACGTCAGAGATCTGTGCTGAGAAAAGAACATATGGGTGACATGAAAATTGGTGCCGAACAAAATAGGAATCAAACATTAAATTAAGTAGTTTCAGGTCATCAGAAGTTATTCAGATACCATTTTCTTGTGACGATATTTTAAATAATGTTAGTTTCAGGTATTTTGGTTAGCAAAAAGTATAAAAATTAACATTTTTATAACTGTTACTAGTAACTAAAATGGGATCGTTTTTGATCAAACGGACTTAGACTTTTTATCCAACCTAAACATTGTGATAATAGCAGATACCTGTTCACATATCAATTTACTGTCATAATATGTGATTATACTGACCTCTGCAGGCTGCATCTTGGTCACTACTGTGTATTTTACTAGTATACGCTTCATTCAAGATTTGATTATTTCTGCTGCTGGTGAGTATTTATTTCCTCTTTCCAACACTCACCTTTCTTCAGTCAATTAGGAAAAGAAGGCCAGAATGTTTTCATTTATTTATTTAGGTTATATTAACTGGTTTCTCTAGTTTGTCCTTAGGTGGGAGTGCATGCATTTTTGTTTGTCCTGTATGTTTCTGTGTTGCCCTACGATGAAATGTCTATCTGTCCAGGTCTACACCTCCTCTTGCCCAATCACATACAGGATTTTATATTTATAAAATGAATGTAGTTGTTGAGAATAACCTGCATTCAAAGCTGTGTCTTTGAATCTGCATGAAAAAGTTGGAACCAGACATATAGATCCACAGAATGTAAAGTCACATAACGACCTAATATGAAAACAGACTATACTTTAAGCTGTTTTAGGTCAGTTATGATTGATAAAATATTTGTATATGCTAAAATGGGAGAGAAATGTTTTTTGGTTGCTTTCAAACTTCCTTCAATTTCAGAAATGGTCAAAAATACTATTTTTAAAAATTTTGAATAAATCTGCAAGCTATAAAACCACATTGCTTACATTTTGTGCACAAAATCATAATGAGATTGTGGTCTAGCCAGTCACGTTTTTAACTGTTTTAAGGGCTCTTGTCACTTTAAATCCAAATAAGCTGCTGCTGGCCACGCCCCCCAACTCAACTCTTACGTCACGTCTTTGAAGTTTCTGAACGGTTCGCGTGTTCGGCTGAGGTTGCCAAGAAACGGCGCCTGGATCGTCTTCAGACTTTGTTGACTTTGCTAGAATCTCCCATTGAAACATGAAACATTCAGTCAACACTTTGGGTGAAATGTCAGTGTTTATTGACAGTGACCCTCCTTTGGTAAACAAAAATATCTGGTAACAGTCAAATACCTTGTAAAGAATGAGATGTCATAAGTCAGGATTCCTTGGCTGTTTTACTAAACACAAAACATTTAAAGGATTTCACTTAAACTATATACAGATACAATAAAGAAAAAAAAATAATAAATTAACATATTTTTCAAAGACAAAAAGATTTGTAAAAAGAAACCAGGATATTTATCCCCAGAGATGAAAAAATAGAAAACTGCTCTAACCAAAACAAGTTTTATGCACTGAAAACGTGTTTTAATTCAATAATGCGTCAACCACTTTTATTTTCCTTCATTATATCATTCAGATTCATAAATGTTGTTTGTTTATCACTCATGATTTATTACCAGTCAGCATGTAAACAAGACTCAGCATCTCTGAGTTGAATAAGGTACTATTTTGCCCTTGTTCATCAATAATCATAGCAGAGTAGAGAACATAAGTACAAACACATAACAATGGCAAAAAAAAAAAAAAACAATACCAAAAAACTAAAAAATTCAAAAGTCGTGTGTTCGAATTCAGGGAAGATAGGATAAGAGAGGTAATATATTTCAAATTAACATCAAGTTTTCATCTAAAAAGTCTAAGGATTGTAATGATTGATGCTGAAATTATGTATAAAATATGTCAAAGTGTATCTTTGTGTTATTGTTTTGTGCATTCTTCTGACAATGTTTAGTTTTTGGTTGACAATGAGCAAAAATGCAGACAAAATCCAAAACGAAATCTTGAAAATACTTCAGAAAATCAGAACAGTTGTGATTGCTGTGTCTGTGAACGTGTGAGGTTAAGAGCAAAATAAACTCAAAAGGAGTAAACATGTCTAAAGATGTACAAGAGTAACTTTTAAACCAGCAAATCAATCTCTCAGCATAAATTTAAATAAACATATTTTCTATGTGAATACAATATAATTAGGGCTGCAACTAATGATTAATTTAGTAATCGATTATTCTATCACTATTTTGATGATTAATCAATTAATCTTGTTAAAAAACTGGCACATTGTTCATTTTTTATTTTATGACAGAAATCTTTTTCATACAAAATAAAAGAAATACATCAAAAGATGCAAATAAATAAGTAAAATACATATATGTTATTGCCTACAATGCAATAACTTAACATTCTTTCAGTGAAAGCTTGCAGCAAACAATGCTTCTGCAGGTAAAAGCATACTTCTATAAACATGTTAAAAGTTCAGTGCTTTCTGCTTGACTTATCATCATAGTGCATCTATGTCTTTAATTTTTGGATTAACTGATTCATAATTGGACATCAAAAGGTGCTCAATAGATTTTCTTTTACATAATTTGAACCAGATGAAGCAAAAACTACGTGACTTGAGGAGGTTTTTTTATTTTCTTAAATGCAAAATATATAAATTTTTTGTGCAGATTTTGGTTTGAATGTTGTTCTTTCAGCAAATGGCCTTTTTTAGAACCTATATTCTCCAGTTAATGATTAATCGATTACTAAATTGGTTGGCGATTACTTAAATAATTGATTAATTAATACAATTAATTGTTTGAGCTCTAATACCAAGTATTTACAGTTTATTTATGATAAGATCCATTTGCTCACAGTCTCCTCCTTGGTCAAACATCTGTCAGAACCTACTTACTCTTATGTGACCTGCCCGTCGATCGATCGTCGTTCTCCTGGCTGTTGAACAACAGAGGACTAAACAACGGCGCAGTCACAGAGGCTGAGTTCGAAGCCGAGTTGATGTGAGTGCTGCTGCTTACTGCCGTTGAAGCAGAGGCTGCAGGATAGACCTGGACGTCAACAGCAACAGAGGTGAGGCCCAGAGAGACGTGATGAGAGACGAGTAGAGGAGGGCTGCCGTGTGAGATGCTGAGGCTGTGGTGGACGGGAGCGGCACCAGGCTCCGAGCTGCGCAGCGTTACAGAGGAGTGTAGAGCGTCTTCTTCTCGTCTGGAGGGCGGGGACGGGGAGCGAGAGGGTAAAGAGGACGGAGGGGGAAAGGCGTCCTGGCAGGGGCTGTGGTTGTCCCCTGAGATGCTCGTCCAGTCCTCAGTGGACTGCAGCTGGATGCTGGGGGGTGACAAACTGCGTCTCTTATCTTCCTCCAGCGACGAGTCAATCTGAGCGTATGGAAGAATATCAGGGCCAATAAAGAATTTAAAAAAATAATTTTACTTTAATCTAGAAATCATAATTGTTTAAATTCTTCATGCATCATCAGACAAATCTAATCTTAAAACTAGAAAAAAATCTACCTGATACTTTTGAAACAGGCTGAAAAGTGAAGTTTTTTTAGCTGTTTCTATGGCAAGAAGGAAACAGTTATGTGATTATTTTTATATACTAACATAATTAACGTACACCTGAGAATGTTTGGTTATTTTCATTTTGACACAGACAAACACAATATTATATTTGGATTTAGAGTTTAAAGTCAGAATTTTTTTTTAATTATTAGCCCTAATCCTCTTCCATAGAAAAGGAGTAAACTGGATCCTTATAAATATCTTAAAAATGGAAAAAAAGAAAAAGAAAACCCCCCAAAAGTATTAATGATTGTGTTGAAGGGGTCTTATTACGTTTTTGTATTTTCATTTGGGTCTCAACTGTTTCTAAAAAGAGTTAAAGAAAAACACAGAACCGATTTTTGGCAATAAGTTCATATTTTTTTATTTAAAGTGACAAGATGCCCTAAATCAGCTCATTAAAAAAGGAGCTCCAAATAGGCAGAACTGATCAGGCTAAAATCTCATAATCCAAGAACGATTTAGTATAAAAATTGTGAGGAACACATTTTGTGCGGCCTGTATATCTAACCTGTTCAAGAAAGCCTAATAAGTTCCCTCTAATTTCCAAACCTGATGTTCGGAAATTAGGTTTAAATTAGTAAAATTGATTTCACATGTGTGATTTCAGACCTTGGTGTCAACAATGGGCTCAGGATGAGTCTCCACAGTCACTGAGTAGTGGTCCACTGCGGGGTGGCAGACATCTTGAATCTCCTCAAACGTTGGCTCCATCTGCACAATGACCAGGCTGGGCCCTGGAGGTCGGGCCCGTGTATCTGACGTGTTGGGGCTCTGCTCAATCACGTTCACAGAGTCATCATCCTCAAAGGCTCTGTACACACGGACAGCTGATGTTTAACTTATGTTTGTTTAATATCCTAAGAGCTGCCTTTTGCATATTTTTGTGTTTGTAGTTTTATATTCACCTGTTTTCATACGTGTGTCCAGCAGCTTGGTGGTCAGCGTGTCTTTTTGGGACTCCAAGATTCCTTTGAGCTGCAAGGGATGTGGCTAACATTAAATTAAAAGGGTTTTTGTTAAGTTTGCTGAGACAATAAGCTAATTTAGCCAATTTTATCAACATGAAAAAAATAACAGTAGTTGAGGAAAATAACTGCCAAGTTGTTTATGAATGAATTATTTTACCTGTAACAAGAGCTAAATGTTGAACGTTGCTTTATTTAACTGATTAAAAAAGATAGTTTAGCTAATTAAGTTTGGAAATTGGGTTTTTCTGTTTTATATAAAATGTTTTGTTTTCTATATTAGTCTTCAATGTAACTTTTTAAAAGCTGTTTTAACTAGTTGGTAGAAAAAACTAAACAGACAAAAGGTTAGATTTAGTTTATGTTAAATAGGCTAAGATAAACTAATTTAGATAAGTTTTTAGTAAGACAAAAACAGGAAGATTTACTATTAAAAGCACCTGGATGTTATTTAGCTTTAAGAGGTTGTTAAACCTTCATGTGAAAAAAGTTATTTAACTTCTCTAAAGCTAAACAGACTATGCCAAGTCAGCTAACTTTTCTCGTCTTATATAAAAGCATGTTTAAAAGTAGTTAGCAGTCTTTATTTGAAACTTATTAAGCTATATATGAAAAAGCAAAAATTTACCTACATTTAGATTGTTTTAGGATAAATACATTAATTTAATTTAGTTAATTCTCTTGTTTCATATCAACACAGGAGTATTAACATTTTATGGGACATATTTTACATAATACTGTCCCACCTTTTATTAATGTTTGTTTCTCATCAAGACAATTGTTCAGCTTGCCAAGCTGTTACTGTAAAGTATTGACAGCTAATTTGTTAGCACATGTTGTGTGAAGCAAGACATTTTTTAGGTGAAACAAAGTTTTTGTTTATTGTTAAGTCAAAACACAGAATTGAAAGTGAAAGAAAATTTTTGAATGACAAAGTTAATCTCCAGACATAAATCTGTCTTGAAACCTTTTTATTTAAAAAGAATTTAAAGGATTATTGTTTTAGTATATCTGTGCATTTATTGCAAATCACTAATACAATTTAATCAATTTGAAGTTAATATGTTTCTACTAATGGCATTTAAAATAATGCTTCTTGTCTTGACATGTAAACACAATGATTTCAATGTGTTGTAAAAGTAAGAACACCGATCTCAATCTGCTAGTTTTGTGGAAAAATCTTAATTTTTCAGCCAATTAGGACAATCAGAAAATAAAATAATGTGCTACCTGCTCGACCTGCAGGTAAAGGTTCATTCTTCTGGACGACTGAATAAAATGTGACGGTTATGAAGATAAAAGCCAGGGATATGCCGACTCCCACCACAATGGGGATGTCATGTTTCTCAAGTGCAGGCAGCCATGATGGCGACTGTTGAGTTCCTCTGGAGAGAATAAAAATTAGATTTCTCACACAAAAAGCAACTTCTACAATAATTTGATACATTTGAAACTAATCTGGGGATTTGTAAAATTGGAAGAACAATGACGATACAAAGATAAATCTCAATTAAAGGAGTCAGTTTATACAGATAAAACAACCTAAATCTCTTTCTCCGCTTAAAAGAAATGTGAAAATTATTTTTGATTGAGTGAAATGAATAAGCTAAGAGTTTGTTGTGTTTTGAAATATGAGCTGAAAAGCTTATTTTAACTTCTGAATTGGGGGCAGACACTCCTTTCTGCTCCTTTTCATTCAAGATTTCTTACATTTGTTACATGAACTATTCTCATTTAATACCAAATACATTAAATAAAAAATAAAATATAGAGAACATTTTCAAAAGATTAAATAAAACCTGCTCATTTCACCCACATGGGATCGTTGCTGGTCATTGGGGACTGGGAGGTGTTCCTCTTTTTCCAGTCTGTCAGCTTGGTGCTATTGGATGGTTGATCTTTCTGTGTGGAGTTCACCTGATTCAACCAGTACACATGACTGGTGTTTACTGGGTCTGATACTGGGAGGGGCTGTTGAGATGGTAAAGGGTTTAACGTTGCTGCTGTGGGTCGATCTTCAAACTGTAAGGGCGGAGGTTTGGTGATTAAAGATGGTGGAAGTTGCATGTCGGGGCTTTCAAGATGAAACTTTGGGAGAAAACTCATTGGTGTGGCAGGCCAGTGAGTTGTTTGTTGGGGAGAAGCTGAAAAGTGCAAAGCAGTTGGTTTATTTGGAGAAATTTGTGACGATGTCTCATTTTTGGAGAGGATATTCCTTTGGTGGAAAGAATGTGGTTTTAAATGATACGATTCCCCTTCTGAAGTAACTTTCACTGAATCAGAAGATTTATTTTTTATCTGGGAAACAGAAATTTGTGTTGGAGGCTCATTATTTTCTTTAGATTGCAGAAATCGATGTGGCGACGTCAATGTTAGACTGAAACCCTGACTGGAAGCTTCCAGAGTTGAACTGAGTGGTCGACTAGTGGGAGTTAAATGTTGATCTTTTTCCAGAGGAAGTTTGGGGTTGAGATCTCCTGACAGGAAGTTTGGATGCGGCGGAGGCGGTAATATTGGAGGCTGCATCTGTGTAACCACAAGCTGCTGGACTGGCTGGATCACTTCCTCCAAAATCTGAGCAGGTCTCGACGGTGGCGCCTTTAACTCAGCTGTGAATTTTCTTGAAAAAGCTGGAGATGAGGTTGTGTTGCTGCAGCTGAAACCTAGAAATGTACAGAGAAATGTTTCTCTTTTATTGACATGTGAGATATAATTAATCATGAAGGAAATGTTCACCTCTTGGTTTTGACTAAAGTAGAAAGTTTTGTTTTTTATACTGGTTGGAAAACAAGAAATATCAAATTCTCAAAGCACAAATCATCCATCAATAAGATATAATATGTCCACCAAAGCTTTATTTTACAAGTTATAAACAATTCTCACAAACTTAATGAGTGATTTATGGAAAATGTGAATACTTTATAAAACACATCAATGCTAAAATACCAGCAGCTGTGGCAGAATTTTACCATTTAAATCCAAATTTGAATGTATTTGTACAGTAAAATCTGAATTTTACCAGATTTATACAGTAAAATTAGCAACCACAGCTGACAAATTTTTTATAGTTTACTTTTGGTTTAGTACACTTGGTCTTAGTTCCCTTAAAATTTGACTCAACGAAGTTAAAAGTAACTTTTCAGAAAAATATGCAAGCTTTTTTTTGGTCAATAATTTGCGAATATAGATAGAAAAATACAAGTTCCGTTTATTCACAGAAAACAAATCTGCCAATGAAAGTTGTACTCTTTGGATCTATAGTCAATAATGACTAAAACTTAACACAAGCTTATTTGACTTACTGAAAAGTTACTTTGAGATAGTTTTGTCGTAAGGTGGACGACAATCGTTGCACTAAAACTTAAACCAAAGATTTTGTGTTTTGCAGTGTGGCTGTTTTAATGCATTTGGTGTTCAATTTGATGTTTTTAAAATCTCAAAGGAATGTTTTGTCACTGAATCGGAACCATTCAAAAAAATGTACTTCTCTCCCAGAAAATAAAGCAACACAAGCTGATAATCATGCAAAAACAAAAGTAGTTACAGAACTTTTTCTGCAAATACGTACAAGTTGTTAACTTTTGCTGAGCCATCAGATGGGGATGATGAGCTGGTTGAAGGTTCTGCTCAGCTGAAACATGAGGATCTTCGCTAACAATAGAGCTCTTAAAAATATCAAAACAAAAGATTTTATGAGATCAAATTCATTTGACGCTGAAACATCATTAACCACAAATGTATCAAATGGATGAAAGGCCACAAAAGTCACAAATGTTGCATGTTAAAATGATATATTGATGGAACGAGCTTTGTTAAGAACTGAAATGATGCATGAAAAGCAAATAAACAATCTGCACAATGATTTTCCACACAAGCTTGAGGAAAACGTTTCACATCTTTACTCACAGCAGACAGAACCAGTTTTGTCTGTTTCTCTCTATAAGCAGGATGATCTTCAGCTTAGCAACAAAAACAGCATCAAGGAGAATCAGAAACTCATGCAGAAACCCATCTTCTGCAGGTCACTTATCTGGCATGTTTTTGCAGAGTTAATCTGATTTTCAGTTGCACATTTTATAGTAATAATTTAGAAAGTTTTTGTGATCTAAACCACTCAATCACACACACAAATAATAATAATAATAATAGTTCTTACAGTCCATAAATGCTCCAAATGCAACCAATGAGATTCAAAACCAAGTCAAGAGAAATAATTCATGAATGTTGTATTGATTGACCCATCAATGTTAATTACAAATAAATAATTTCCACTCTTTGCAGCTTTGGTATAAGAAATATTAACAGAATCAATAATTAAATCTAAACAAGAGAAAAAAAAACCCAGAAGGATTAAAAAGTAATTAAATTGCCAATATGAAAGTTTCAGATTTCAAGTAAAGCTTTGACTCATTCTGTATTTTAATTCCCTTTTAATCTGAATTAATTGCTGCATTTTCAGTCACATATAATTGTGCAAATTGTAATCATGAAAATAAAGTTGCTGAATGGAAACGTGGAAATTTCTGACAAAACATTTTCAGATAAAAAGGTTTTTTGAAAGTTTTTCAGCTGCATCAACATTTTAATAAAACTGCAATGGAAACTTTTTAATCACATGAGTCATGTCACCAGCAGCAGGACGTTGCTTCTGGCTGAAAAGACAACAGGAAGTAGCAGGAGGATGAGGCGCTGAATGTTTTTTTTTTAATGACTTATCAAGTGAACAAACTTGTTCATGTGATTTTAATTGTGTTTCTCATTTAATGGAAACTCTGCAATTGGAAAATTTTTGTCTTTTACGTTAGGGAAATAACGGCATAGCTTTGTGCATATTTGTAACGTAAAGCATCTTCTGATGAGGAATAAACACACCTGTGACAGTGAGGACTGTGTGTCTCTGGTGGCGTCCAGCTCTGTTCTCAGCAGTACAGACGAACTCTCCTGCATCCGAATGCTGAACTCTGGAAATGTGCAGGGCTCCATTTTCTACATAAGTTATGAATCAAGCAGAGCTGACATGTAGTTGCATCGAAGCTGAGTGTGGAGATGAACCTGTCCGCATCCAGGCCTCACCGTCCACATGTTTGGTTTCACTGCGGCTGATAGGAGAGCGAGTCTCTGCTCTGGTCCAGCTGTATGTGATGGGCTGAACCCCAACAGCTCTGCAGGGCAGAACCACTGATGACCCGTCGGTGCTGCTCACTCTGTTTACAAAAGTCACAATAATGGGACTCACTGGAAATAAGAAGAAAAGAAAAAAAGACAGCATCCATTATGTACATACGACGACTCTGAGTATAATTGCTCAAACAAAACACGGAATATTTTGAATTATTTGTTATTTAATGTCCATGTTTGACTAATTTATCTTTTTGTCTTCAATGTGAGCTGTAGTGGAATAGTTAAAGAGCTAAATCCTGAATATGTAATGATTATATCTGAAACAATTAGTCATATTAATCATTATGATTCAATTATTGAAATACTCGTCAACTAATTTAGTAATTGATTCATCGTTAACTGGAATATAAGAACTCAAAAAAAGGTGAAAGAACAACATACTCAGAGCCTTGAGTTATTTTGAGTAGTTGATTCTCTGAAAGATTTTACTCCTCAATTGGCCAGTATGGGAATTGAACCCACAACCTTAGCGTTATTGGCACCACACTCTAACCAGCTGAGCTAACCAGACACCTTTAATGGTGAGATTTCATTGATTTAGGAAAAACTTGCATGATCCTACTAGAATGAAGGTTTAAGAGAAGCGTTCATATTCAAAATCAAAATGCATAAAGGTTTAATTTATGCAAAAACTGCACAAACATGTATATTTTATGCATTTTAAGATATGCTGAAGATGATTTGATTATTGATTTGTGGTTAAGTGTGTTTCATACCCAGAAAAAGGTTTTAGTTTATTGTATCACATCATCACTATGAATGTAGACTTGTCTTATCTTGGATCCAAGAACGTTAGATATAAATTCAGTACTTTATAAATATAAATATCAAGTAAGTGTTACCAGCAACTCTCAGCAGGGCTGTACTGTGGCTTTTTCCCAAAACATTGGAGGCTTCACACACGTAGACCGCCTCATCGTAGATCCGGGCTGACTGGATGTAGAGAGTTGCATTTCTCTGTCTGGATGAGAGAGGCACACAGTACGAATGAAGTCAGTTGATAAGTAAGAAATTATATTTTTCACATTCTCAAGCACTGGAGACAAAGTTACAAAATAAGCTGCTGATGACCACGTCTCTAAATTTCACATATACACTCATGTGAAAGTGGATGAAATAAAATGTGCAACCGTACAACTTTGAAAAGCAGAAGTAGAGCCTCCTGCACAACCAACAAAAATACAGAGTGGTTTCTAGATGGTAAGTCAACAACAAAACACTTCCAGCACCCATTGTACAGCGCATATAGCGGTAAAACCGACTGACCAAATGTGCTGGATCTCTGCTTTGGTTGCCAGATTACAGTACAGTCCATGGACATTTTGGAAATGGCTCATATTTCAGATAGTAACAAAAACTTTAATGTATTGCCAAGAAATGAGTGGGTGTTTTCCAGAAGTAGTAGAGACCGAAAAAGGAGGTACAAAATATGCAAAAAGCGATTTTTGCATAACAGTTTTCATTTAAAAACATTGAAAAACAAGAAACTTGTGTTCTTTGCGAGAATAAAACAAAAGAATGAGATTTTTAAAGAGTATTGCTTTTTAAAATTTTTGTTTCCGACATGGTAACCTACCCCGGTGCAACCTTCCCTCCGGTTTGCTTGGAGTAGCCTCTTTTCATCCACCTGATGGAGGGCAAAGGATGACCGGATGCCTCACACTGCAGCACTGCTGGGGCTCCCACAGGAACCACCAACACCGTGGGCCACAATTTCACTGAAGGAGGGGCTACAGGAAGAAAGAGAAAGAAGAAATAAAGCTTTCTGAAACCCAAACTCATTTTTTTTCATGCTACTCTGAAAAAACACAAAATCTTATTTTGGTCCAGTTTCTAGTCCAAATATATTAGTACAATTGAAGAAAGACAATTTATTTCAGCTGTCTTAGGGCCTCTTGTCATTTTAAGTCCCAATTACTTGCTGAAACGTGACTTGTTAGTTTTATCTTATTTGAAGTATATTAAGATACTTTCACTATAAACTTGAACAGAAATACTTGTTAAGCTTTTGTGTTTTTGCCCTGCAGTATGGGGCAGCATCTGTAGTTTTGTGTTTTTCCCACACCCAGCACTGTCAGAGTCGCTCTTCTAGAAGTGAGGAATCTTTGGAGGTGAGAGTTTGACGCCCTGCAGAAGTAAACGCCACCATCACGCTCCTGGATGCTGAAGAAGAAGCATGCAGAAAGTTTTGTTAGATTGGACAATTTTATAGTTATTTATCCAATTATATGTGTTTTAAAAGAGAGACCTGTGAAAGAAGAGGTCTCCACTGGGTAACACTGTCATGTTTGCTGCTGGAGAGAGAAGCTGGTTGCCTTTGAACCAGGACACATCAGCTTCTGGTCGACTGTATGGAGGTCTGCAGGTGAGCGTGACGTTTTCTCCTCTCCTGACAGTCAGACTTGAGGGCTGCTGCACAAAACTCCAATGCATGTCTGAAAACACATGACTGCATGCTCCAATGTGTGACGGTATTTGCTTTTGATGAATTTTGTTCAAATTAAAAGTACCGGCCAGAACCAGGAAAGCTGACTGTGACTTGATAGTCTCTTCCTGGTTTGATGCTTCACAGTGATACCAGCCTTCGTCCTGCTTTGTCACATTTCTAATTCAAACACAAAGGAAACTTTAGATTTCAGCAGATAAAAGCTCAAAGATTCTAAATCTTCAGTTTTTGTCTTAGTACTCATACTAATAGAATTTACTAATGTTGCTATGATCTTCAAAAACAGAACTCAAAAAAAATTAAAGAACTGTATGCAAAGATGCAGTAAACTCAAAAATAAACACTAAAGTTGAAAGAAAATCATTCACTAAATGAAAATAAAGACTGATGTTGAGCTTTGTGGGCTTGTAAATTGCAGGACTTTTATTTAAATACAGCTAAAACTTTCATCAACATTAAGACCAGATGAAAGAAACTGTAAATTTTGTCAGCTGCTTCTCCAGCAATATAATCCCTAGCATTAATATTTCAACCTATACATTCTGTAATTTTAACAAATTAAGAAACTTTACAGTGGGTACAAATGTATATTATTACAGCATATTTTCACTATGATTTGATTCATAATCATCATAAAATGTTTGTACTGAGATTTTAATCTGCTCCTTTCAGCTGTCTTAGAGCCTCTTGTCACTTCAAATACCGGCTGTGCAGGAATGTATTGATAAAACCCAATGAATTGTTAAAATGGTAATAAATAGTTGTCACTCCAGGGTTTTGATTGTTTTTGTGTTTTTTGTAATCAAAATTACAGATTTTTTGGTGCTAATTTAGAAATATTTGTAAGGAATTTTTATGATATTTGTTCTAATGTATGATTTTATTCCTCACTGTATCGGTCACAGACTATCAAGTAAGGCTGAGGCAGCAGTCAAGTTAACCCAATGTTTTTCACCAATTTTGAGAAAAACATTTTCAGTAAAATCAGGAACAATGTGGCGATCTGTTAATTTTGTCTGAATTTTGCAGATTTGTGAAAAACTGGTGTGACTTATTGTTGTAATTTGGAGTCTAGAGGGCCACATAAAAAGCTGCGGCGGGCCAGATTTGGTCCCGGGGCCTCGAGTTTGACGCATGTTTTAAAACATGTGCAGCATTAAGATAGGAACCAAATGTTTCCCTGCTGTCCTGTGGAGTGTCTGACCTCAGTGTGAGCAGCTGCCCATTGTTCAGGAGGCTGAATGCGGCCGAGCAGCTCGACAGGAGGCAGCCGTCTTTGAACCAGTGCACCATGGGAACAGGGAAGCCGCGGACCGTGCACTGCATGGAGACCTCAGTTCCTATGGTAACCGTGATGTTGTCCGGGCCCTGGACGAGCTTCAGACTCAGAGGAAGACCTGCATCGCAGACTGCTTGTCATAAATGTTGTGGGTTTTCCAGGAAGTGACTGTTTGTCAGAGTTTGTTCTCACCTTCCACAGTCAGCTTAGCTGGTTTACTCCTCCTGCTGATGTTCAGCAGAGAGCTGTGTGTGACACAAACATATATCCCATCATCCTGCACTGTTACATTGAAAAGGTGCAGCGTGCCTGAAGTTTTCTTCTGTTGTCCTCCTCCATATTCCCCCTGAACGGAAAACAAGTCAGTCAGTAAAATTACACTTTTTCTCTAAATGTGTTATTTTTCTCTGCATCTCTTTCCAAGCAACCAAAAACTTCAGATTTCAAAATAAGCGAGTCGACTCATCCAATATTTAGGATTGATTGAGAAAGTAGCAGGTGAAGCAAGTTTTGACATTCTGACAATGATTCATCTAAATGTATTCAGCTTTTTATGCTGATACATATACGAAGATAAATCAGAGGAAAAAATCCTGAGCAAAAGAAAAACATCAAAGAAGAGAACAAAAAGTTACAAAAAGACGAATAATAATGTTTTTTCTCTTGAGAGAGGTGTTAAGCAGACAGTTTATCAAAAGCAAAAAATTCAATTCAAGATTAACTTAGAATATGACATTGTTGACTGAATTTGTTTTTTATTAATTGAGTGAGTTCTAGAAATATGGAAAGTAAAGATAATTGGCATCATTAGCATCATAGAAAGTGATTGAGAAGCATTAAAGCTATCAAACTATTCAGTCAGAGTTAATCAGGAGTTTTTAAACCAACTGCAGATAAGATGTTAAAAGTTTAGACAAATTTTAGAAGTAGAGGATCTAGATAAAACATTTTTTTCTGCAAAAAAAATCAGTTTAGTGTCTCTCTAAGTGATCAATTAGGATGTAAAAACCAATTAAAATGTTCTGTTTCGACCTCCTGCCTCACCTGAAACTGTCTGCCTCTTGTGACGATCTGTCCGTCTTTGAGCCATGAGACGTTTGCTGCAGGCGAACTTTCTCCAGACACACACTGCAGGAAAACAGCCTCTCCTTCTTTCACCGTCTGGTCCTGGGGACCAAAGAAAACATCCTCCAAACCTGGAAACCAGAAATATCAATATTTATGATGCATTTTGCAGCTTAGTGCGTGCATTGTGTTGCTGAAGAATTATTTAAATGCTTTGTTCTGGACATAAACATGCTGAAAATTAAAAGAAACAATTAAAAAGGTAAAAGTCGTTTATGAATCAATATCAATCTTTCCAAGTTGAGAAAAATCTTCCTACATCGTCTTAATTCTTTAAAGGTGATATTTCAGTTAAATTTGCTTGCTGTTTGTTAATTGTGGATTAGCAAGAGAACATCATTGTGCATTCCTGAAATCCAAACTGGGATAGGGTTAGGGTGTAAATCAAATGCATTATTCTAATTAAAGTTATCAGGTGCATAGTGTGAAAGAGAAGCCTGCAGGACTCACCCAGAGGAGATGCGACTGCCGAGCCAAACAGGATGAGCGAGCAGACCAGAGAAGTCATCTGTGATGACAAACAAATGGAGACACAGACCTGCATCCTACTGCAGAGCTCCAGGAGAAGAAGAAGAAGAAAAAGGAAAGCAACTTGCAGCTTCATCCATGGTGTCAGTCTGTGATGTGCACATAAAAGAAAAGTGCATCTTCTTAAATATTTTCATGCAAACTGATGCATATTGAGTCCTGCATAGTGTTTTATATTATTCTGATAATAAGACTCAGCGCATGTCTTCAGGAAGCAACGATATGTAACATTTGTCACTTTATCTCCTTAAATAAGTGAAATGTCTCTGAACAGAGGTCTCGTTTTTGATCAGTTTCCAGTAAATGTATTCAGCAGATGAATTTAACATAATTCACTCCCCGCCTCTTGTTCCCTCCCTTGTCGCTTTGCTTCGTTCCTATTTAGGCTGTGAGTCTGTGTGGCACCACGGCGAGCTCAGCTTTGTCCTCTTTAGTCCCTTGAATGGGCACAGCCTCTTTATAGAGCTCACACGGTGGCCCTCCACTCAATGAAAGTGACATGAAAAGAGGCTGCGCAGCTTTGTACTGTGAAGATCAGTTATTGGCTCCTGCGAGGACAGCTACCCGTCTGATCGCTCACGCTTTCATCGAAGGGTCTGATCCCTTTTAGTTTGAACCTGAGACAAATTTTGGGTTTTCCACTGATGAAGTTGCAAAAAAGTTCTAGTTTGTGTTAATTAGTCTCCCTCCCTTAGTTTCCCTGACTTCCTCCTGCCACGGCTGTTTTGTTTTACTTCTGTTTGTATTTTAATGCTTTGTGTTTTTATTTCAGTTCATATCAGAGTAGATGGGATTAAACACAAATGTATATTCATACAGTATAATTTTCCCTCCATGTCAGACATATTTGTGCTGGTCAGCCAAATAGCATAAACCAAAGTTTGTGATTGTAATGTTAAATATGTAAAAGTTTAAATACCTGTATGTTTTTTTTCTTTTATTAAATCATCAGAATCTCTAATTATTGAACAAATCAGTGAACAAAACTGTTGTGTTATGTCGTTCTAAAGGACAAGAAGTAAATGAGAAACAGTCGGAAGAGTAAGAATGATGCAGAATACGTGACGACGTGCTCCATTAACATCATAACATCAGGCTCTTCAAGTCGATTTTACCAATGTAAAAAAGATGATGACACAAATTTACAATCGTCTGTGATTCAAAAAATAAAAAATAAAAAATCAGTGCTTGTTTCTGCTGCTGCATGTTGTTTATTCAAACACAAAACCAGTTAATGTTGGAGTCCCTCCACGTAGCGTCAGTCTGAAACCTTTTCCACCGATAACAGAAATATATTCAGGGAGCAAAATGGGAATCCTGTCCGGACATACTTGACCCGGTAAAAGAAAACATTTTCAGGACAGAACTAATGTTATTCTTGATTGGTAAGCTAAATGCATGAGTGAATTGCTCTGTGGGTTTTCTGCAGAGCCAGAGGCTGCTTGTACTGACACAATGCTAAGAGCTTGTGGGTGTTTTTATTTGTTTGACTACGAAGCTCACAGCAGATCATTTACACTGTTTAGCATGTCATTAAAGACGTTTTTAGCCTCGAATGTTTGTCACATTTTCCCCACATCACTCCAACAAATGTTTGTGTTATAACAAACTAGGTGAAAATAAATCTTTTTAACTCTGACATCCCGAAATAATATGATTAATCTCTGTTATTAAAATACCTCTGCTGAGGAAAAACAAACAAAAACACAGGAGAAATTCAGAAAAAAGTTTTGAAAATGATTAAATCATTAGCCAAATTTTGCACTTTAAACACAGAAATGTTCGATTCATCATCTGAAAATAGAAAAATTCTGACACAAACCTAAAAAGACATGGCTGTCCAACTAAAGCCAAAACTCAACATGCAAAATATTAAGTTGTAAAAGCAAAAATAGCTACAGAAGCTGAAAGTGGACGTTTTCAACATATACTTTTTCTCCATGGTTTTCTCAAGATCACTAGATAATCTGAAGAAAACCCATTTTCTTGATGATTGGTGTGTTAAACTCAGGTTTTGTGATGCTTCTGAAGGAAGGAATCAACTTAGTTTCTCAAGATTATTTCATCATTTAGAGAAAAAGTTGGGAAAAAATAAATGCAGAAAACGTTTGTTCTCAGATTCTGTAAATAGCAATGTACGTCACAAATTAAAAAGTATAAAAGTGTAAACCTTTTGATTAGGGGTTGCACGGATTTAAATGTTTGATTCTTTTTAATCATGTGAACCTAAAAACTGATCTCAAATGTTCAACAGTTTTGTTGTTTAAAGCAACTTTTTCTTATTATTTGTTTTGATCAAAATAAGAACCATTTCCAACACTATATTGCATTAATGAACACTACATCGGCTCTCATTATTGATTAGAAATCAGGAGAGTCGAGTAATCTCTGTTAATCCGTCAATAATTGATGCTTGGAGTGTTTTCACATAAATGTAGGTTAATGGAGGTTAAAGTCACAGCTCTCTCAATCCATCTATGATGGGAATGTGGAGCAGTTTCCAAAAATGAAATAATTTAAATTTAATGTAACTGAAGCTTCAGAAAAGACAATCTTATTTAAAGGATTTCTTTCATGGCTATTTTTCTTTCTTTTTCCAAGAGTTCTAAAAATGTTTATATTATACTTTTGAGATTCTCAGATTGGCTGACAATTGAGAGTCACTATGCTGAAATGTTTACATTTTAACATGACACATTTTGGATGTTTTGACCCTAAAATGTTGCAGAGAAAATACAAGCAGAGCTGTCAGATCAGTAGCTTCTGGTTTTCTCACTCACATGGCTGCAGACAGCGTGCTACTACGGCCAGATGAAGTCCTTGCAAATGTAAATTGGCGGTCTGTTCAGCATAATCAAATGGAAATTAAAATACAATTGTGCCAATTTATAATCTATGCTGGGAGGGTTATTTTAATGAAGAACAGCAGACATGCTTGGTGAAATGTTACATCAGCAACAACAATGGAAATATTGTTAAAAGTTTCTGTTTATCACAGAGATGTGAAGAAAATCATAGGAAACAACATAAATGTTCATCAATAGAGTCAATGAATGTCTGTTGAACCTGTCAAGTCAGAGGTTTCCTTGTGATTTTTGCATCTTTCATAAGAATTGATCATTTTATTTGGTGTAATATTTACTTTTTTGTTATTTTCATTTTAATAAAGCTACATAGTACAAGAAAATCTCTATTTCAAAAGTCGAACAAATCAACAAAAATACAAAACAATACAAATACTAAACATTGGAGCTGCAGTTAGTGGTGTCTACTGTCTTCTATTCTTTAAGTAAATTAAATTTAGCGAGTTTTAGATTTTGAACCTAAATATGTGAGTTTGTGAAAGCTTAATTAATTTTGTCTAACCTTCAAGAGTTGAATATAATTTCACTGAAACACATGAAAAAGAAAGTCAGGTGTGGGAACTACTTCCTGAGAAAGAAACTCCAGATCAAAGATCATGTCTGATTGCAGGCTGATGGTACCACGTACCAAATATTGGGATTCAATCAGAACAGCAACGGTCAAAATACGGTTTTTGTATTTTTTTTGTATGGATTTTACGTTGATTTGAAGTAGTTGCTTCTCATCCGTATTTTATTATTGCAGTGTTGTCAATAAACCCACAATCCTGCATTATTGCAAAACAAAAATGCAGAATTCTCCATGAATTTCTGTGATCCAAAAATCATAAAAAAAAACCCTGTATTTATGGTATGAACTGTAATTTTTTGCATATCATTTCTTTGAGGCTCAAATTTTTATCTTTATTTCCTAAGCCTCTACTCCCTAGCGGTTACCATAGCAACTAGTGTTTCATCATTTTCTAATTTCTTGATTAACGGAAAAGTACAGCAGGATTTCCGTGATGGATAAACTGACGCAAATCGATTAGTATTTATGATATCTTAGATGTTTGTGGCTGTTTGGTAGAAAAGGAAGTTATTTTTTTACAGATCCAACCAGAAAAGTTTTCATCTGTAAAATTTTCTGGATATTTTTTCAAAAATAGACTTTCCAATAATTAGCATTTTTTCACATTCAAGAAATGTGAAAAAATTTTAATATGTTTTGGACTGAAACATTTTATTAAAGCTACATCAGTAGTAACACTTAAACCCACCTCTAAATAGATGAAGTTTGACCTTTAACTTCTTTACTTATCTTCAATACAGAAACATCTTTACTGAGGTTTTGTCGAATCAGTTCGCAGAACAATAAAATTTACCCGATTTTGTCCAAAGTCCATCTCATCTTACAACCTCATTCTCCAAATCTTTATTACAAACAACTGTAATTCCCTGGAATAAAATGCACGTCGTATCTGTCCATAATCTAGTTTACAGAAAGAACATTTGCTTTTTTCAAAGATGGCCAGCTAATGAAGTATTTAATCCTGTGGAGTCAAAAACCTGCAAATCTGAAGTTAATTATTTCAGGCACCATTAACAGAACGTATCATTTCCACCTTGGGCAACAACATTATAATTTTTATGTTAACAATTTATAAACGGGTCTTCTGAATTATCCATAAACTAAAAAGCAACATAATTATTTTGGAGGAAAAACCGTCCCTTTAAAACCAAACTCCTGGTAATTTGTGGCTTCCTGCTCGTGTGGACAATAAATACAGATTCCCCAGCTGAGCGCAGCAGAAAGAGTTTCTTTAAAATCACCTGGTCCTCTCCCAGACTGAGCGGTGCCGAGTTCTGTGTTTGAGAGGAAACGATAGAATAATCGTCCCGTCAGAGTTATTTACAGCCGCAGTGGCGGCGGTGTCTTATTGAAAGAGACGGTAGATGCGAGGCAGACGGCCATCTTTGCTGGACAGCGCCGCCTGGATGTGTTCATACGTCGGCAGCTCCGTCAGATCTCCCAGAGCCGCCACTGCAGGTTTACTCCGCAGCATCTTGGTGGTCACTCTCTTTATGTCGCTGGCTGTCACGCTGCCTGCAAATTCATTTAAATAGCAGTTATGAAGGAGGAAGACTGGGCAATGTGGACATTTCATCACGATATTCTGAAATTGGCCCGCACTAACACAGCACTGTATTATATACAACCTGAAATGGAAATATTAGTCTCCTAACTCACTTATTGTTTTTTGTTTCTCGGTATTTGCTGAACAAAGAGCAGATGTTTTTTTTATATAATCAAATTCCTTAAAAGACGTTTTCACAATGAACGGTATAATAAACTCCGACCCAAGGGAAGGAACATTTGGTGCAGTTGCTAAAATAAAAAATAAAAAAACTCACTTATGAGGTCACAGAGCTCGTGAGGCAGCTTTCTCTTTCCTGTAGACAGAACCTGGCGCCCGACATCTTCAAAGATAACGGGCCGGGACTCCAGATTCATCATCAACATGGACTTCAGCTGAGTCTTGGCTCGCTCCAACTCCATCTGGATGAAAAGTGAAGGCTTTGTTTTTCACTCGCTGTCAAATGGAGGCCAGTTTGTCTGGATTCTTACCTCTCCCGCGCTGCCGCCCATCTGGATGAACTCTCTGGTTATAATTTCCACCATTTCCCGCACCTGGAGAGCAACATTCAGCAGCATTAAGCCCTCTGGTCAGTCGGGCTGAAACGATTAATCATGATTATTCGGTTACTACAATAACCATCAACTAATTTAGTAACTAATTTGTCGTACAGACTGTAAAAATGTTGACTGCTAAATGAACAACACTCAGAAGATATTAAGCCAAAACTGAACAAAAACTGTGCAGTTTGGAGGTGAAGGACAGAAATTAAACTATTTCCAAACCTTAAATTAAATTTCAAGCATTTCGAGTTTGACTTTATTAAATGTAGTTTAACAAAAGAACAAAGTTACACAAAGAAAATACATTTAGAACAAAAGACTAACAGTATATTAACAGATTCAAAGGAATGGGTATCAGAACAAACTTATTTTTTATTTCATATTACGAACCTGTCTGGGATCTGCGCTCGCATGGATGCAGAGCAGCCCGCTGTCCTCGTAGCTGTGATGGTAGGAAGTGGCGTTGTACATCCAGTGATGCCTGCAGAAGATAATTAGGTTAAATGTAACAAGAAAGCCGAGGATTTTAGCCTGAGTGTTTGAGGTTCTCACCTGTTGAGAACGTTCAGGTACAAACGAGTGAACATGCCTTTCCCAGGCCCTCCTGCTGAGAAGGAGCCGCCTCCTCCCATCATCATGTTCAGCACAGCGAAAGGGATGAAATCCTCCTCCTGTGGAGGGAATTATTTTAGTCTCCATGAACCAGGAGACTGAGAGGCGTGAATGTGCTGCGAACACCAACCAGGAAGGAGCAGCTCTCCAAGCCGATCATGATGTGGGTGAGTTCTGGGATCGGCGTCGGACCGAGACTCACGTCAGACATGTCCTTCTCCATCTGACAAATTAGAAAGGAAAGTCATCATCCCCCACAAAACAAGAGATTCAAGGTGACCTATTAGGAATTCGAACAATATTCGTTACATTTTTGCACAAAATCATTCTTAGATAAATAGATTTTAGTGTCATGAGTTACTCTAGAGCCTCTTGTCACTTTAAATCCCAATAAGTTGCTGCAGGCCATTGGGCCTAACTCAAAATTTACACTCACATGTGAAAATGGCTGCAAACTGATGCGTAATTATATCACCGTACATATTTGAAAAGCAGAAGTGGATCCTCCTGCACAATCAACAAGAATCCAGTGAGTGGTTTGTGGTTGGTAAGTCAACAACAAAACATCTGTCTTTTCCAGTAGCCATTGTACAGCGCACTGCATACAGCTGTAAAACTGCTTCGGTTGCTAGTTAACAGTGCAGTCCCCATCGAATGTGACTTATCAATCAAGAAGGTTTTGAAAAGGCTCATTTTCCAGTTACCAAAAAACCATTAACTAATTGCCAAAAAACAGCTTGCAGGCTGGCTAGGACAACAAATTTTGCCAAAAGATAAACTGTCCCAAAAGTTATTGCTTAAAAAGATAATAATGTTGTTTTGAGACCATTTTCAAGTATTATAATGGAAATGGCAAAATAATGCAAGAACAAATTTTCAAAGATCAATAAGCTTCAATTCTAATGGACATTTAACTCTGGAACTGGAAGATATTTTAAATATCCAAAATCAATTAACAAAAACAACAAATAAAGGATTTCTCAAACATTTATGAAAGAATCAAAGCAACACTCCTTCTCTGTTTAAAAATGAAGGAATAACATAATAAGAAGTGAAGCTAAAAGAAAAATAGTTTTATAGAACAGGTCCCCTTTAAGTTGTACATCTGGATGTTTACCTTAACGATGCCGCCTGTGTACTGCGCTACAGATAGATCCACGTTGGTGGCTGAACTTGCCCCCCACACCGGCTTCACGTCCAGCAGATGCTTTCGGGCGCAGTCGACGAGCTGCTCGTGCTCGATGCCCACGCCGGCCAGCACCATGCGCTCCGGGCAGTAGTAGTTACGCAGATAGCTGTGAAGAACCGCCTTGTCTATCTTGTCCACGTTCTCTGCAGGACAGAATCGAGGAAGGCCGACGGTGTTCCCACGATACGCAGCCTGGAAACAAACAAAGATTAAATTAGTTTTCCTTTATTATGGGACAGACAGCAGGAGTCTTACCAGGGTTCCTGCAGGTTTCACCAACTCAAATTAAGAGTTAGTCATTCTTCTATGCTAGCCACTCTTGCTAGGCAGGTTTAGGTAGCAAATGTAGCTACCTTTTTCTACTTAAGCTAGCTAGAGTGGATAGATGGGTGAAAAGGAAAAAAATAACGAATGAATAGTAATGAAGAAAAGAAGGATGGTGGAATAAGAAGGAAAGACAAAAGGATAGAAAGATGGATGGATGCTAGAAAGTATGATTCAGAGGAAAGGAAGTATAAAATAGTAGGAAGTATAGATAAAAAATTTATTTTCATGCATATTTTATACATTCTCTAAATTATCCTACTCAGCTGCACATTTCTTGTTTAAATCTGGGTTATTTTTAAAGGTTGTCATTATTTTTTTCCTATGTTGTCAATTTACCTCTATTGCACAGTATTTTATCATCGTTTATATGTTTGTTTTTTTGTGTGTGTGAATTTCCATGTTGCCTAAACTAAATTAATTTGCTGCTGTGACAAAAAAGGAAATTTTCTATTCTCTTCTTTTAGAATTTAAACCACAAATTAAACAAAAAGCACTAAAACATTATTAACTTGATCAACCCACAGCTCTGTTGAAACTCGTGGTGGCCGTCCAGCTGAAACAGATCAATAAAGGTCACAGAGTTCTCACTCACAGCATGGATCATCTCCGTCAGCAGCGGCTCGGGGTCTGGCCTCATGTTCAAATCTTCCAACTCAAAGCGAATGGCCATTCTGATCATCTCGATCTCTTCGTCTGCACAGAAACAAAAAACAAACCGTTTATTTAAAAGCAACGATTCTCCTCTGTGGATGAAAACGAACATACCGAGCAGGCGAGGCTGAAGAACGGCGTCAGATAGCAGACTGACCACAGTGTCCAGACCTTTGACCTCTGCAGACACAGCGTACATGCTCGTGTCTCTGAGTGACAAGATTGAAAATAATATAAAGTCAATCAATCAAGTTTTCCTTGTATAGCACATTTCAGCAACAATCAGTTCAAAGTGCTTTATATGATAAAAACACAAAAACCAAACATTTTAAAATTTCATTTATCCAAGTGTCATCATTTACACAACAAAATCAAAACAGCTGGGTTTTTAGTCTAGATTTAAGGGAATTCAGTGTTTTGGCTGTTTGAAATAGTATTTTTTATTTGTAAAGATAATAAATTATACTTTTAGCCATTCAGGGTCAAGGATAAGGAGTTTGTTCCAGATTTGTGGAGCATAGAAGCTGCTTCTCCATGTTCGGTTCTGGTTCTGGAGACAAAAAAACTTTCCAGTTTGTGATGATGAGAGAGAATTCTGGGTAAATACCTCGATGTTTGGCAGTCACAAATACCGCCGTGTTTTTCCAGTGTGAGAAGGATTTCATCTTTACTCCCATACTGAGCTGTGGACTAAACAAAACATTATTTAGCAGCTTGAAAACAATTTAACTTTTATGCTTTGTTTAGTTTTTGTTCACTTACAGAAAAGGCGAGTTTTTCTAAGAAGTGCCCAATTCCACTTGGATATTTTGCTTCATGTCTCGATCCAGAATTTATTAAAACTAAAAATAAACAAGAAATGTCAGGAAAAAAAACATTTATCAAATATACTCTGGCTTCATTTCCATTAATTAATCAATCAATCAAATCTATTTGTGTACCACATTTTATTAGCAAGGCAGTTCAAAGTGCTTTACATTATAAAAACACACAAAAGAAAATCAAAAATACAACAAGTTTGCTGGTGCATTTATGCATCAAATGCAACTTGAGACAGATGGCTTTTCAGTCTAGATTTAAACTAACTCTGTGTTTCAGTTGTTTTACAGTGTTCTGGAAGTTTGTTCCAGATTTGTGGTGAAACACAAATGTGCCCAAATTTGTCTTTATTCAGCTAATGTAAAGAAAAAACAAACACAATTAAAATACAATCACATATGAATAAGCTTGATCATTTTAAAGATTTATTTTACCACAAATTCATAATTCAGCAAACCTGGGAGGGGCCTAAATCTGAATGTCAAACAGACATTTTTCTCCTCTGTGTAGCAGTGTTTCCACTAACCACAAAATGACACTAATCAAAAGTTATGAAAAGAAATTCACTGCAAAATTGACTATTACATTTCCCCCAAAACGCTGCTTACGTATGCAACTTACTTCCAACCGTGCAGAATTGACCAAACTTGTTTTGAGAAGCAACTTTGAGGCCGTTTTCTAGAGTTGTGATCTTGGTCTCGTATTTTTCCTGACCGTCCACGGATGCGAACACTGGCTTTGGGATGCCAGGCAGCGGCGTAGAGAGGGAGATATTGGGATATCCTCCACCTGTGCTGTACTTTCTGTAGGCTGCGATTCCAAACCTTTAACAATAATAATGTAGAAGGAGTTAGAGATAATGGAAGGTCTAGAGTTTGCAGACATCTTTGGTGTCTTTAAAAATTAGCACCAGATGTACAACTTTTTTTGGGTTTTTTGGTTAATATAATTTGAAAAAAATAAATGGAAATAGTTTTAGAGTGTAAATATTTTGGGCAAAAACGTATGAAGAAATTATAAACTGGAAGATGAGCAGCAGAGAATCTAGTCTTACAAATGTTGCAAATATAAAGCCAATCTGTATTGTTACAGACTTAAAGACACTTGGAGTTGGTCATTGTTTAGTCAAATAAATTAGAAATCCTGAAGGAATGGTTCAATCTGGACATTATGTAGTACAAACATGCGTAAACAATTCAGTTTGGAAGCTGATATATCTAAAACAGGAATCGGGACAAAAAAAAAGAACCCCTATTCATGTTCATAAAGCCTTAGTAATACTACTTGTCATTTCTTAACGCCACTCTCTGTTTTGACCAATAGTGGTCAAAACAGAGAGCTGCAGCTGCTTTAAAGGATAATATATTCTTCCAGATGATAAACTCCAATTTCATCCTTTTCCAGACTATAAATGAACACTGGAAATGAAGAACAAATGAAAGCACTGGGCTAACAATTTCTCCCATTCAGTTCAGGGATGTTTTGCTGTTTCTTTGTCTGTCTCTCTCCAGATAATAAAAAATAAAATGATTTATTTAGTGAGAACATCCAAACCATGATGATCAAACCCAGGAACAAAACATTAAATAAATATGCAGCTGTTGATAAATATAGTCTGATATCACATACAACTAATAGCTATCCTTATAAGCTTTAAAAATCACTGTAAAGTGTTGACCCTACTGCTTTCTGACGCAAACAAACTGATGTAAGATAAGGCTAACGCTCGATGCTAACTGCAGGCTAATCTTTAGAGCCAAGGGGGACAGCCGTTTAAAAACTGCGCGTGACAGTGAAGCGCGTGCATCGCTGTGATTTTTACACCTCTTTGCCTAAATGCCCCACCTGTAAAGTGTTAACTGTGAGAATGTGTGGACCGGTTACCTCTGAAGCCGAGACCAAGTCCTGCACCTCGACATGTGAGTCGCCATCCTGCTTGTCTTTGACCGGAAATCAACCCGGATCAAAATAAACATTTCCTCTAGCATTTCCGGGGCAGGCATGCCTACTTTTTTTCCTTCTTTTTTAAAAAACTGTTTAATGAAACATAGTTTTGAGAACTTTGCTTAAATTCTAATATTTTAAATAAGGTGGGGTTTTTCAGTTTTTCATAAAATCAGTACTTTTTAGTCAAACAATTTCGTTCACATTCCAATATAGAATATGGCGGTAATTCACACTTATGCTGCTTGCTAACAGCTAATATATGGCAAAATTTAAGAAGAAGAAGAAGAAAACAGTTTAATCCCCAAATTTTGAAAACATTCTCTCATGATGTTCAGTTATCTTTATGCCTTGAAACGTGACACTAAAAGAGACATCAAGTCACAAATCGGGGGCGGATTTAGCATTCATTTGCAATTTTTCAAACTTTGCTCACCGTTTATCTTAATTTCTACACAACAAAATCATGTTTAGCAACATTCCGTCGCAGCACTATGGATTAAAAGCTATTAAAAGATGTATTATAACAGAGGTGGGGACAGTATAAACAGTTAAGAGTACTACTCTACATATATTTACTTAAGTAAAAGTAAAAAGTAACCATCTAAGAAATTAAGTAGAGTAAAAAAAAGTATTTTGTAAAAAGGTACTCAAGTACTGAGTAATTGATCAAGTTAAGAATCGTTTAATAATTAGAAATTACATTATCAGACAGACCAAAGTACAGTGTTGTGTGGAAATATTTGGTATTTTAAAGACAAAAATGACAATATTTAACAAAAGTCTAAAAAAAAACAACAAAATCAGACAAAATATTTTTTTTTTCAAAATCAGTTCCTTATGATGTAAAACTTACTTAAAAACTGCAGGTGTGTGTCTGTGTCAGGTGAATTTTTGGTTAAATTTTTTTTCATTCCGAGGAAATACAGACATTTTTCTGAAGTAGGAGTAGAGATATTTCACAATAAAAGTACTTTCAAGTAACAGTAAAAACTACAGCCTGGAAAAAAATACTCTTAAAAGAAAAGTTTTTCAAAAAAGTTGCACAAGTAAATGTAATTGAGTAAATTTAACTGGCTGCTACCAAACTGTTGGAGAAATTGTGATATTATTAATCAAATATTTGTTATTCTCATTGATCTTTATAATGTATCTTTATTTTATGCTTTCCTTTTAGTTAATCTTATTATATAATTAAGACTATTTCTGTATTGTTGATTTACTCTGATTACTTTCTCAGAAGGCCTCACTGACAAAAAGCAGAGACAACAGTCTTCCTGCAGTGTTATCTCTTGGGGAAGAGCTCTGCTTCGTTTGAGTTGCTGGATTGCTACAAAACTGTCACTGCGAAGATTGACTACATATTCTGTTTTAACTTTGTGCCTGGAAGGAGATTATCTAGTGCAGAATAATTGTGTGTTAGTTAGTGAATGACATTTGACGCTGCAGCTGTGTGATGATTTGTTTCCCTCCCTTTAGAGCTACAGCGTCCTTGTGATTAGGGATCCTGAAAACAATAAAAAGAGAGGAGCAGACAAAATATGCTTCAGAGCGGTGGGAGATTGTAACTGAAAGCACATCTCTGTCTGTTCTCCTCGCGAGTAAGAAAGAATCTAACTCTTTTGTCTTTCCTGCCTTTGTTAATATGTGTTTTATAGGTATTTAACAGGCTGCTACCAAACTCTGATTATAGTCAATTCAATTGTTATTTATTTATTCATTTAGCTCTAAACTGTATCTTTTATGGCTTCATTATGCTTTAACCTCACATGACCATGACAGTGTAGCCCCGCTTAATCATTGATACAATCAGCGCTCTGTACTACTAGTTTAGTCGTTTAGAACCAAAACAGAACAATTGATCATTTAAAGTGGGTTGGAATCATTTATTTAGCCATTAGTGAATTGATTCTTACTCAGAAACAGGAAAAAAAAGGCCAGTTGTTGAATAACTTCAACTCTTCCACACAACTTTGAAGCACTAAGAAGCTGCATACGGAACCAGCAGGATTACATCAGAGCCTCATTGGCCAGCTGCCCGTCAGACGTTTAGCTATCAATTGATCCAAAGATGCTGCCCATCTTACAAGTCACTGCAGTTGTGTGGTGGATATTTCTGTTTTCGCAGTGCAGCTCAGCATATGAGCTGCAGGACACCATCCACACTCTGAAAGAAGAGAACCTCCAACTGCAGAACCGCTTGGAGAACCTCACCCGAGCCCTCAGAGAGCTGAAGCATCTTCTGACAGAGACCTCCAAAGGTAGGAATGGAGCCATTGCAGGACTGGCACACATTTCCAAAAAGAAAACTTCTCAGCGGAGTTTATATATTTTTTTGGTTTTGTTTTTTTTACCCAAAACAGCTTCTCAGCGGGAATTTGATCCTGCTTATGTGCACGCCTGGAGGGAGTGGTCCCAACATGGTGAGAAGTAGAAATTAAGTCTTTCTGAAAACGATTTCATTTAAATTACATGTGAATGTGGTCAAAGCCACATGAAAGATGTTTCAAAGTCGGTCTTCTGTCACCTGAAGAACATCTAGGATCAGAGGGCAAATGTATCTAGAGAAAGTGCATTTATCTTTAGTCACATTGATTACTGCAACAGTATCTTCTCAGGTCTGCCTTCAAAAAATCTGATCCAGCTGATCCAGAACTCTCCTGCTGGAGTTCTGACTAAAACAAGGAAAAGAGAGCACATAACACCAGCTCTAAAGTCCTGAGAGAATAGGCTTTAAAATACTGTTGTTAGTTTATCAATCACTGACCGGTTTAGCACCACAACACAATAAGGATCTCCTGTTGTTTCATCAACCTGCCAGACCTCTCAGGTCTTTGGGTTCTGGGGATACAGAACCAGAACCAGACATGGAGACACAGCTTTCAGCTTCTATGCGCCACAAATCTGGAGCAAACTGCAAAATAACTGAAACACTGACTTCATTTAAATCGAAGTAGAAACCCAACCTTTTTAAAGTTGAATCGTAATAAATAAAACTTTGACCAACATATTTGATGTATTTATGATTTTTCATTGTTTGTTTTCACTTTGTGAAGCATTTTGATCTGCCATGTTGCTGAAACATGCTGCACAAATACACTAGATTTTTAAATTTTTGATAAGTCTGCTATCTTTCAGGCATCAGCGCTGAGACTCACCAGATGTTGGAGCAGGCTTTGTGTTTAACTGAACTTCATGACGCCGCACATCCCTTCTTCATCTCTCCAGGCCTCCTCCTCTTCCTCACATCTCTCGTCTCTGTTCTTGCTGCACACTTTTGGTTTTAATTAACAAATAGTCAGCTATAAATCATCATAATGTAGAAATCCCATATAATTCTGATTCTACTTTTCAAAATTGTGAATTGTAAATGTATCATAATAATAAAAGAAATGAGTTTATTAAAATTTTCACAACTCAATTTGAGCTGTTTCTGTGAAAATGTGTTTTTTTTTATGTCATATTGCATCCAAATAAACAGAAATACACAGAATGTCTTCAGGATTATTATGTTTATATAACAAGTAATAATAAATGATTTTTGCATTCAACTTGAGAGTGATTTTGATGATTAAATCTGAAGGGAAGATTACTAGAAATGAGACGCTTTTCTTGTTTACAGAAAGAGAAGAAGAATACAATTCAAGGATACAATGCAGATGTGGAAAAAAAGTAGATGCAACTTAAAATGATCAGTTTCTCTGATTTTACTGTTTATAGGGGTATGTTTAAGTAAAATGAACATTGTTCTTTTATTCCATGAACTACTGACAATATGTCTCTGAAATTAAAAGCAAAAAAACGTAGTTTTCATTTGCAGAAAACAAGAAATGGTCCAAATAACAAAAATGATGCAGCGCTTTCAGACCTCAAATAACGCAAAGAAAAAAGTTCATATTCATTTAGAAATAACAATACTAATGTTTTAGTTCAGGAAGATTTGGTGGAATAATCATGAGGTTATTATAAAATAATGTATAAAATATTTCTTCAGAAAATATCACTTCCCCACAAGCAATTGATATTTCATTGATAACTAGTATAAATGTTTTATGTAAAAATGACTGGTTTCTAACATATTTACTTGCATTTATATATGTATATATATAATTTTTAGAGTCACCATTTTAAATAGAAAATTTAAATAGTTTTTACTCATATTTCTGGTTGTTCTGCTGATGCAATGACATCAGTTTGTGTCATCATAAAGCTGCATTCCTAAATTCTACAGTGTCAAACGTTACAGAACCAAGAAAACACATAGAAGATTCATTTCTGAACAAGACTTAAAAGGTAAGATTTCTGGGATTGAAGGCTCATATTATTCATGTTATTCATAACACAAAGATAATAGAAAACATTTAACTTTTTTTGTATTTGTCCAGACAGAACAGAATAATAATGAGTGAGCATAGGAACCCTATTTTTGACGATTGGTTGGATGATCTTCGAAAGATCAGAAAAATGACCTTGGAAGAATTCAATGATCGTCTGGATACCCTTGAGGTCATATGTAGAGATCGACACATTGGAATAACGGTGAACAGACTGACTAGATCTGAGTTTGATGAATTCCAGGCCTGTTTGTCTGAGTACATGCAGTACCTGGAAGGCCCTCCTAAAGAAAAACCTAGTGTAAATCAGCAAGCCACGGATTTGGTTATTCGTGTCATCAGCTGTACAGGAAAATGGCTCTTCAGAACACTTCTGACAATGCACCAGAACGGCTCTCTGAGGTACTGGGTCGATACCTGGTATTTTTAAATAAACTAGTGTCATGAAAAGCTAAGGATGGAGCGCACTGCTCTGCAAAATACTGCCTACTAATTTATTTTTTGGTTAATATTTGGGTAGAAAAAGTGTTAAATAGGTTCTTTTCACAGAATTTTAAATAAGTGAAGCAAAAATGTATTCAGACAGAAATCTATGGTCAATTTATAAGCTGGAGGAAAATGAGACACAGTATGTTATGCTGATATTAATGTAATATTTTATAGTTGAAACATGTTTTTCCATTTCTGTCTGCTTTTTTATAAACAGAAAGAAATAAATGTAAACTTGGACTTGTAGCTGTCATTAAAGCATTTGCTGCAGGTCCAACGAAGTGTCATTGATGATGTAACATTTATTATCTGTACATCACTGAAGGTTAAACTTATCTCTATTGAAACCCCGCCCCCAAAAAATAAAAAATCCGGATCAAATGTCCTGCAGTCCTGAATAAATAGAGGCCACTACAGTAAAATGGCTCATAATTAGCAAGTTTCTCTTCTTTATTGTTCTTTGATTTAAAAATAAATGCCTCCAATCTGAAAAATAAATACAAACATCAGCAAAACTTTGCAGCTATTAACAAAATGAAGCAAAAAAGTTAATTTTTTTCATACATTTATTACCAGATATTCCACATTAGGTTACATAAAAAGTTGCAAATTAAGACGGGTCATGTTGACATGATACCAAGACCCACAGGCACTTTTTTTTTTTTTAATGTGAGCAGATTGCTTTTTAAGCTCGGAATGCAGGTTCATAGCTGTGCTACCTACAGTACATTCAAAGTTTACAGTATTTATGGGATTAGATGAGAGGTAAGGCATAAAGTTAGTGTTTATGATAAGGACTTGACGGCCTAAATGATGGTAAACATTTCAACATAGTTTTTACAGAAGTGAGTTCCCTGAAGAAAAGTTAAAGTTCTTTATATAAATAAAAACATCAGATTTCCCTGAAATGGAAACAAATCGTACCTTCCTTATTCTTCTTCGTGCTCTTTAAACTTTACTAACCTTGGTAGAAATGGTATGACCAAAAAAAATAATAATAAAAAGCCAAACAGCTGCATTTTCACAATAGTTAGGCTCAGTGCACTGTAAATCACAAGGCATTTGATCGTTTAATCACAAAAATGCAACATCATGGTTAAAGATGCTAGTGAAACACAAATTAGGATGAATGAGGTCGAGTCAGTCGAAGTGAGCGAAGAGAAATCCTCTCACTTTGAGTGTTTTGAGAAAAGAAGGCTGGATAAGTAAAGGCCAGACTGCTGATATATGCAAACCTCGTATCCGTCTGACCTTAAGGTCCTCGCACTCCGTCGTTCCAGCAGCAAAGACAACACTGGTTTTCGTTTTGGTCCATTTCCACGCGTGGCACAGAGAGTTCATGGGAATGTTTAAGAGATGACGCAGATGGTGCTGCTTTGGCTCGATATGGCCTCCCTCCTCTTCAGCTCTCTGGCCGTCATCCTCCGCTTGATGCCCTCCAAGTACAAACTCCGGTCAAACAGTCCTCCACACAGAGGAATACTGACCAACACACAAGCAAATGCAGTGAAGGGAAAATCAAATTACTTGTTAGATTAAAATTACTTCCAGGAAATGTCCACCCAAAAACACAGAAATTGTTAGCGTAATCTCAGAAATGTTCAGAAAAAAACTGAGTTTGAAAAGTCCAAAAATTTCTGCAGGGTTTCCTCCAGTGTATTATAAGCCTGGTGGGCCACCAGGCTTTACTTTTGCCCCCACCAGGCTTAGTTTTGCTTATTTATAATTTTTTTTTTATGTTTGCAATTTGCTCCTGTGTTCAAATATTAATCTTACAATAACGTATAATTATCAGGTGATATTTTGACTTTAACTTTAAAATTTTTTAACTCAAAAAGACAACAGCTGCTGGATGAATGACTGGTGAGCATCCAATGACCAGGCTTAGCAACTTTGCTGGGGGAAAACCTTCTTCTGATCTCCAAAATACATGAATTAGCAAGAAAAACTAAAACACTTTGAGATTCTCTGAAATTTTCTACAAAAAAACTTGAACATTTCTGAGAACAAAGTCAAAAAAATTGTTGGAAACTCTCTTAAATTTTGGGATTAATTTCAGAAATGTTCTACAAAAAATCAAAGAAATTTGGGTTTCAAAAGTTGGGCATTTTCTATAAAAAAACGTACATTTTCTAGAAAAATAAGTCGTCTGAGCTCCACAAGAAAAAAAAAAGCCAGACAGGCCTTGGAAAATTTGACATTAATCTAAGACATTTTCCAGAAAAAATAAGAAGATTTCTGAGTTGTAAAAGTCAAAAAATGCCCAGACATAGCTTGGAAAATTTTAGATTAATCTTAGAAATTTTATAGAAAAACAAGAACATTTCTGAGCTCCAAAAGTAAAAAAATCTGCTAGAAAATCTCTGAAATTTTGAGATTAATCTCAGAGACTTTCTAGAAAAACAAGGATTTTCTTTGAAACAAAGAAACATCCAAGTAATGTAATTTAGCTCCATTTTATCCTCATTCAAAATCAGAAGGTCTTGAATGTTTCCAGGTGACAGACAGCAAAAAGTCTTTAATGGACTCACTTGTCTCTTCCCGGCCTGAGTTTGACCTGAAAGACGGCAATGACGGGTCGGTGGTCGGAGGTCTTTATGCTGGAGCAGCTGCTGTATTTCAGGACTCGTATGTCGTTGGCCTGCCTGCTCCTGAACACGACTCTGTCCTGAGAAAATAAGCGCGCTCAACACACAAAGACCTAGAGCAACGAGACGCTGGAAACAGCAGGCTGTCTTCTTACTGTGTAAGAGGGCGTTCTCTGCTTGGACGTGGTGTCGTAATTGTCACAGCCGATGTCGAATTTATATGTTGGGAAGAAGTGAACCGGTGCTTCTTGAAAACCTTTAAAGATGGAACCTGCACAGAGACGGACAACCAAATACCAGGGTGATAAAATAGAAAATAAAACTGAGGTAAACTAGTAGGATGAAGTCGAAATAATATGAGAATAAAGTTGTAATATCTTTAGATTGCAGTCATATTGTGAGAATAAAGTCATATTATGAAAGTTGTAATAATACGAAAATAATGGCAGAATATTTCAAAAATAAAGTCAAAATAATGAGAATATGGTCGCAATAATATGAAATTAAAGTCACAATACTTTGAGGTTGAAGTCATAATGTTATGTAAGTAAAGTTAAAATACTATGAGAATAAAGTTATATTAATATGTGAATAAAGTCGTACAAGAATAAAGTTGTGAGAATATGAGAATACAGTCAATATTTTGAGAATAGAATCATATTAAAAGAACAAGGTTCTAATAATAGGACAATATTCTTAATAGTATGACTTTATTGAAATTTTATGACTTTATCATTGTAATTTTATGACTTAATTATCATAATTTCAGCACTTTATTCTCATCATTTTATTATTTTATTTTCTTAGCATTGGTTTAATTCTCAGTCTTCTCACCAAGCAGCCATATTGGCCATCTTCAGCCTTCTTCATACGTACCGTCCTTCATTTGGTTTGACAGCTGGTCATGCTCCAGCAGAGGGCTCATATCGCCCCCTACTGTTCGCTTCATGATGGCTTCTACTTCCGCCCGGTCTTTACCGAGCCGGAAGTTGAAATCCCCAAACCAGAAGACCTGATCGAACCTTGTGGTGACATCGGCTGCAAGTAAACAAAAATATTTCACGTGAAAAAAACAGGTTTTGATTTAAAGTTCAAACATTTAAACTTTAAAAAGGTTTGAACTCTTTATACTTATCTCATGTACAAAGAGGGCGATATATGAGGTATTAAAGAAGAAATTTAAGCAAGAGAAGAAGAGATACATATTTTAAGGAACAGAAATATGAAAATACAAAATAAATTAATCAAGGAAAAATAAGAAACAAAACCCCAAAAACTAAATAAATGACTACAGAATTTTTTTTTTTTTTTAAGTTTTGGAAAAGTATTTTGTAATTTGAAAGAAACAGAATTGTTTTTATTATTAATTAGTTTAAAGGGTTCAGTCAGAGATTTTAGTACTGGGAGAAAATGAGAAATATTAGTTTGCAAACTTTTATTTCTGAGTGAAAAAGTTTGTACATATATTTTATTCAATCAAGACAAGAATGTTCAAATGTTCAAGAAAGACATTTGTTGACAATGTAAAAAGACATCATCCATAACCACAGCTGTTGTTTTCATTTTTTTACATTTAAAGACATTTAACGTCTGACCTGGCGAGGAGCGGTAAGGGTTGGTGTCCGGAAGGCTTTTGGGCAGAGCTAAAGCTTCGATGATCTTGTTGTAATCGAGTATTCTCTCGTAAACTTTGGTATCTCCAGCTGACGGAAAAACAAAGAAACAGAATCATCCAGAGATAAAGAGGAAAGAAAAAAATAACAAAATAGTTTAGTCTTAGAACGCTTTCTTCCCCATCTTCATCAGCAGACACAACGACTCACATGTGAAGTGGGACGTTATGAAGAGAAAGGAAGTTCCAAAGAAGGTAAAGGTGATGCCGACGGCTCCTTTCGTCTTGATCTGAGAGATGATTCTGGTCGTGACTGTGGCATGTTCCACCTCTGTTTTAATAAAACAATAAGAAAATCTTGTGACTAAAAACCAAAATTAACAAAAAATATAATCAGAAATTTTTCATGCAATTTGAAACAAGAATTTCAATCATTCTAAAGCAAAATAAGTATTTTAATTTGATACTGTGAGTGAAAATAATGTATAAGTAAGGCTCTTTAACTAGGTGAGGCCAGTTTTTTTCTTGCATATTGTGAAATAATTATTAGGTTTAAATTGCAGAATTAATTAAAACTCACAATTCAAGATGAACTAACTTAAAAAAAATAATGTTTAGACAATTTGTCTGCTGTTGTTAATTCATTTCATACACTTTAATTTCTGAGTTAAAAACAAAACAATTTTCTTGTCGACTTTAATTGCGTTTTCAAGGCAGCAGGTGGACTTTCATTTTCAAGTTAAACCACCTTCAAATGTTTTAGTCTCTTGCATTTAGGACTTAAAGTCCCA